ACCACCACCTTTAAGAATAAGCAGTCTATTATATCATTGTTTTAGAGCACTACATCAAATTCACTTCTGAACGATTTTGTGTGAGAGGCTTGCTTCAGAAGATACTTGACAAGATGGCTCGCATAATGAACGCTACAAAATTAATCTGCTGACTTTGAGACGGATGTCAATGACATAAAGTTGTCAGAAGTGCAATATGTAGTGCTAGAGTTGACGGCTGTTTTATTTCTAAGCAATGGAAGAATGTGTCTATCAAAATACAGTCTGCTCCAAATGATTTCGTTATCAATGATATGTTTTGCAGAGGTGGAATATGTGTTGTTGGAATTTACGTTAGATTTGTTCCAAACAATGCTAAGTTGTGTCTCATCGGGATAGTAGGTATGGTCATTTTCTATTATACTTGGTGAAGTGTGCTCGTCACTATTTTATCGTGATATTGAATCTCGCAAACATTACCAGAACATTTTCTATATCGATGACTGTATTTCGAGTTCATCTCTGGTCTCATCCAATACAATGACTCAATATACTCGTGCAGCGCCATCATCACACGATTCTCGTCCAAGTACAACGCAGCAAGATTTGTGACAAGCGTAGTGTCTCGAAGCACCTTTTGCTTTCTGAAAGAAATGATGCGCCTCGTCGTTCTTGCCTTCCTTTACTCGAATGAGCCCCAAGTCATTGTATGGGTTGCCAAATATCAGATCTACTTGAATAGCTGGCTGCGTTTTGACAATAGCTTTCTCGACGAATCCGTCCAGATACAAATGCCAACCCAAATAAACGTGGGCGTCTGCTGTCTCGAATAATCTGACGGACTTAACGAATAATGCCTAAGCTAATCTCCTCTTGTCGACCATGCCTAGAACCTCACTAGTTAACGGATACGACGCGTTCTGAACGACTCCCAGCGCTGCATCAAGTGCCGCTTTATCCGTTTTCAACCTGCTGCTTCTCTGACTCGTGCTTTTCGTCAAACGTAATGACCTGCGGCACTTTAGCAAAATGAAGCAGCTGTCGGCAGTCTTTGTCACTATATTGCAAGTTCACACGCTCTGATATTGTCTTGTGTATGTATAACGCCTCATCAATGCGCTACTTATTTCGCTTTCGAGACTCCCGGAACTCGGCGCGTAGAGCGTCAACGCAGGAAGAAGTGGAGCCAAAGAAATCACACCATTTCGTTCCTTTACACCACGTCATTTCACGGGATAAACTGTCTTAAAAGCCTCGTAGCTGTCAAGTACGTTGGCGCTACGCAATAATGAACGATTTAGCACTACTCTACAAGCCTCGAGGACATGGTGGTTGAAGTGATAACATTCGAGATAGCACTTATTGATGTGGTGCACCCAAGTGCAACAAATTCCTAATATTGGTCGTCGCTATGGTGTCGCTCGAGATCTGCGGTATTCCCGTGGAATTTCCGTTCCGACCGTATGACTCACAGCTTGTATATATGGAAAAAGTTGTACTTTCACTCATGTCCAAGCAAAACGCAATTCTTGAGAGCCCCACAGGCACCGGCAAGGTAAATTATCATGGTTGATGGTGTAGAAATTATTTAACGTAGGGTGTAATATCTAGACACTGTGTCTTCTTTGTGCAACGCTGGCCTGGCGTCAAGAGCTACAGAAAAAGCTGAAGACAAGCACATTAGTACCGACAAAATGTTCAATTGCATCACTTGGCTACGAGGGCTACGATAGCAGTGAAGAGAGCATAGTTCCGCAGTTACCACGGATCATTTACTCATCCAGAACGCACTCGCAGTTGAAACAAGTGGTTCAAGAACTAAAGAATACGTCGTATCGCCCCAATGTTGCAGTTCTCGGCTCTCGTGAACATCTCTGTGTGAATGATAAGGTGTCGAAGCTCCGAGGCACACGACAGAACCTTGCGTGTCGTTCTACATGCAAGGACAGGAGGTCAGCAGTAATGTTTAGCTTATATCGCACTTAGATCTACTCAAATACTCCTTGTTACAGATGTAATTACAAGCTAGGCTTTGATATCTATGCCAAGAGATCGAGGAAGCAAGCACAGCCAATTATGGATATTGAGGAGCTTGTGACGTCGATGAAGGAGAAAAGTGTAGGTGAGGTTTCCTGTTGTACCTTAGTATCATGCTCACACGCTTGGCTGTACAGATTTGCCCCTTCTTTCTCACCAGAAATATGCTACCTGAAGCTGAAATTGTATTTGTGCCATACAATTACCTGATTGACCCCTTGGCCCGTCGATCTATTGGTATGTCCCTCGACAACTCGATTCTTATATTCGACGAGGCACACAATGTGGTAGGTATGTGCTGATTGTCTTCTATTGAAAGACAATTGTGCTCAAGAATACCGTATTTATAGGAAACGATCGCGAGCGATGCAGCATCTTATGCGCTGTCGTCAAACGACATTTCTGGATGTATTTCTGAGATCGACACTTTTATAAAAGCGTTGGGTAATAATACCATACAACTTGATGAAGGTAGCAATTTGACAACGGAGGTATGAGTTTTGTGTTGCTATTTGATATTTCAGACTTTGTAATCATGTATGATCGATCAGTCTATTCAAACATTACGAGCACTATTTCTAGAAATTGATAAAAGTCTCAAGGGTTTTCCACTTTCTGCAAACGGAGGGTTTACAAAAGTGAGTAGGGTCATAAGTAGGTGAAGATTGATCTGCTAACGACATTTTCAAATTGTTACACCAGCCGGGGCAGTACATATTCGAGTTTTTTGAACAGTTTAACGTGAACTTTGAGACGTGCCCACTTGTTCTAAACATGATAGAAGAAATTATCGAAGTAGCGCACGGTAGTGATGACTCGCAACGAGCTGCATCTAGACTCGATTCAATACTTTCGTTTTTGGGCACTGTTTTCAGAAGCAAGGAACAGCACTTGAAGGTAACGTGGAAGTAATTATATCTTTAAAAGGATTTGTGATGACATATTTGTACTGCCATAGACGGCACAGAATTATCGAGTCCATATTCAAGAGATTCGAGAGAGGTACCTAGTCTTGATGTTCTTCAATGCAAGTCAATAGTTCCTGATTGATCGTACAACAGACCATTAAACACCGAACGCCTATTTAAGGGTGAATATCGAAACAAGACGACCACCCGTGTATTTAACTACTGGTGCTTCCACCCTGGGATTGCATTTCGTGAAATTTGCGCCAACAATATTCATAACGTCATTTTGACCAGGTGAAATCTGCCAGATCATCCCTTTCCTGTCTTATGGACGACTGATTTAATGATGTGATTTTTCCTGACATAGCGGAACACTTTCTCCGCTGGATACAACAGTCAAAGAGCTTGGCATCGACTTTCCGGTACGATTAGAGAATAGCCACGTGATCGATGCTAGCCAGGTATGGGTTGGTGTAGTGGGCACCGGAGTGACTGGCAAGCGCCTTAATTCAAGCTACAACTTCCGATCGACAGAAGCGTATTTGTTGGAGCTCGGCAATACGATAGTAAATTTTAGTCGCCTTGTTCCGCATGGTCTACTAGTTTTTTTCCCGTCTTACTCTATTTTAGAGGAAAGTATCGACAAGTGGCAGCAACGTGTACCGGGTGAGTCAGGTCAAAGTATATGGAATCGAATTGTTCTTCAAAAGCAAACATTTGTGGAGCCTAGAGGAAGATTGGATTTCAAGATGGTAGTTGATGAATATCATCAAACTATTGCAAACGATCCAAGAGGCGCAATCTTTTTTGCGGTCTGTCGAGGGAAGGTACTAGCATCATGATACCTAGTAATGATTCGTTAGATCAACATAATAACCACAAGTGTTGAAGCTTAGGTGAGCGAAGGCATTGATTTTTCAAACGACAAAGGTCGTGCGGTCGTTATCACTGGTTTACCTTTTCCTCCAACAAAAGACCCCAGAATTATTTTGAAGAAAAGCATTTTAGACGAAGCAGTAGTCCATCCGGGCGAATTGGTGCAGTTTGATGTCTTGGGGGATAACTAATGCCGTCACTAATACTTTTATTCATGCACATCAGAAGTTGACAGGAAACGCGTGGTATATTCAACAAGCATCGCGAGCTGTGAATCAAGCTATTGGCCGTGTCATTCGTCATCGTCATGACTTTGGAGCAATCATCCTTTTAGACGAAAGGTTTGCTCTAAAGCAGCAACAGGAGTGCCATTCGAAATGGCTGCAGCCCTATTGCCACACTTGCAGTGGATATGGTTCGTCGTGTAACATGATTTGTATGAATGACTTCTGACAAAATATGTTGTGTAGGTGAAGCGCACATTGGCTTAACTCGATTTTTTAGAACCAACAAGTTAAGAGGTGAATCAGAATCATCGACGAAAGTGCTGCAGCAGCCTAAATCGATTGGTTTGTCTGGAAGAGGAAAAGCCCAGTCACCAATGGCAAGATCAGACGGCGTATTAAAGGATGTAAGCCAACAGCCAAATTCTCCGCCTGAAGTGCAGTCAAATTCACAAATCGCGATCGGAGATGGCCAGTCTTATGTTGATCCACAAGTCCTCCGGCGTATACCAGACCCATCGATAACGTCAGGTATCTTCGCTACGATTTGTCTGGCTCCTGCTTGGCTAATTTCGTTGTAATGACATTCTTTTAATGACTTTTCCACGTCAGAAGATAAAAAAAAATCTGATATACTTGCAAGATCGAGACCACTTGCACCTCAGAAACGCTCGCTCGGGTCACTGTTGATGTCCAAATCGAAATCTGCAATGGTAGACATGACTTCGTCAATTTCACGCCCATTTACGGCGTCAACGCCATCAACTGTCAATTGCAATACTGATAGTGCTGATAGTGCTACAACGTTTGGCGGCATCGACGCGCAGTCGTGGCATAGCGCAAGGCAGGAGTTTGCAGCGAATCAAAATGCGGTTATTACCGTTTCAAATGTGGAAAGCAGCACGACGTCTACAGTCGAATTTCCAGCAGTGGCACGAAAAGTTCTTTCGGCTTCAGACGTGCTGGAATTGTACAGCTACATTCGACAGCTTCATGCTGGGGAAGACGTGGATGCTGCACTTAAAAACATTTGTACTTTGTTGCGCGATCCGGCTTGTAAAGAGCTCCTTGATTTAATGCCAATAGTATTAAATGGCGAGCTCGGTAATCGGTTTATTGAGGAAGCCAAAGTCCATGGATTAAAGGTGTCAGTGATAGATGGAAAGTCTCGGGGCAATTCAGCTGAAGGACGGCCTACAAACGTGACGACATTTTTTGAGAACCTGCAGCAAAAAAAGCGTAAACGTCAGCGAGGAGATGCAACGACTGGTGCTTTTGTAAGGAATCCGCAATGTTTTGTATGCTATGACATAACCCTCAAAGCGTATGCCTCTCCATTGTGTGGTCATATCTGCTGTCAAATTTGTTGGAAAAAAGTAAGTAATTTTGGTTGACAATCAGTTGAAGAATTGGAGGTGTCACAGGTACTGACAATTTGTGACAAATGTAGATGGAGAAAGATGGGTTTACATCTTGCCCTGTGTGCAAGATTCCAATCAAGCTACAACAGCTTAGTTTGATTCGAGCAGCTAAAATAGAGTCTGAATCTGATAGAGTTGACGGACAATAGTAGTCGTTGAGCTTTAAACGAATGTATCTTTACTTTAGTATTGTTGAGATTCGACTTGTCAATTAAGCGAGTTCCGCCGAGTTGGTTTTAGATTTTTGACGATCCATGGGAGCCACTTCAATTCAGAAAAACCGCTTGGTATGACTGTGTAATCACTCGATTTGTGTGCACATGCTTGATCCATATCGGATCCGTTATGTCAAAAATCTAACGGCTAACTGCCCAGCATAGCGTTCAGTGCATCTTCGAAACGGACGGAATTGCTGCTGGCCAACGGTATTTATAGTCAGTCAACGGTAGCGTTGCCTACCACAATTCAGTCATGTCAGGCATCTTTTAGTCTTCTAGGAACAGGCTGGCCAATGCCTGACGTTATGGCCAAGTGGTCGTTTCAAAAAGCGTGAGTCGTTTTACCCTAATGGTAGCAGCTGCCTTGACTGGCGGGTGACCGATTGGCATTTCGACGTTCCGACCTTGGATTCTCCACTTGTCGATTGCCAAATTAACATCATTTTCCGACTTCCCGGTCTTACAGCGAAACATCTTACAGTCTCGCCTTCTCAGCTGGCTGTACACGGTCATATCATAAATTTTGGCGCGACACTATAGCACACAGCTGACCTTAACAATCATCATCGTGTTCAAATGTTTTTCGCAAATGGTTATGTTGAAACAGACAGACGGGCGTCTGCTGTAAACTCCGACGAAAACGATATTCTTCGTGAATTGCTTCTTGATGGTGAATTTGTATCACCACGACAACTCTCTTACGGTGAAGCCTGCAGCATTACAGCTTCCGCCTCGATGTCGGGACTATCCAAACGCAGCGATAATCAAGTCGATGTCTCATTCCCGCAAATTTGCTTTGATAATTCGCCAAACTTCACACGCTTGCAGCCGCTTTCTAATCGAAGCTGTACCAGCTTCTCGCTGTCAAATCAGTCCCCGCTCTCAGCATCCGTCGTCAACTCAATTGTTTCGCCTCCACGCGTATTTGTACAAGAATTTGCTCCACTTCCTCAATCATTTACTCAAGATGATTACTTATTGGATTCTGAAATGCGCAACATCAAATCTGAGAGAGCCACTGTATCGTTTTTAACGTCGTGTCTTCCTCCTGCACCATTGCCCATGCTATCCATGCCTCCACATAAGAAGAAAAGATTGTCAAGTACGAATTCTTTAAATAGTGAGAGGAAACAATTGCGATGCAAGTTTCCAGACTGCCCAAACCTTCGTCGTTCCGCCGGGTTTTGCAATCGTCACAGTGGTAAAGTGTGTAGTATTCTTGGTTGCAATAAGTCAGCACTTAGTCGAGGAAAGTGTCCTGAGCATGGAGGTGGTTCACGTTGTAAAAGGGAGGGTTGCTCCAAGTTTGCTCAAACACGTGGTCTATGCAAATCACATGGCGGAGGTCGCCAGTGCAATGTAAGTGGATGCATTAAAAATGCCCATCAAAATCGATTGTGTCGGTCACATGGAGGTGGGAAGCGATGCGACTATTTCGGGTGTCCCAAGTGGGCACAACGCTCTGGTTACTGCTGCGCCCACACAAAGATGAGCTCAACAGACGACTCCGGAGTCGATGGAGTATCACACGCGAATATCTCCGCGACAGTTGCGTCATCTCCAGCATCGTCTATTTGTATGGTTTCAGCTCCCGTTTTGTCTCCAACTTTGCTGTCTCCCCATCGCCTCTTCTCGCTTCCGTAAGTTGCTACTTACGTGATACCCATTCATTGAGTGTAAAATTACCTCGGGACAGATAGAGTAGCTTTTTAACAGTTCTGGCTTGCGAATGAAGCAAGATTCGCTCGAGTTGACGGATAGGTAGAATGCAATATTTACGTGTCATCGCACGACTTAAGCAGCAAAGACGTCAGAATAATAATCCAATGGAAGATGTATAGACCTCACTTTACTGCGTCATATAACAATCATTTTGCACTAAACAGCACAACTTATGCTGAAGTAATAACTCCTCGCTCAACTAGGTCAGGCACCTCAGCAGCCAGCCATGGCGCCAACTAAGCATAACACCACACATAAGCATCAAATTTTGTGTTATCATAGCAAAGTATAATGGATAACGTACACCGAGTGCAAGGGCGTGGGCAACACCAAAGCGTGGCACATTCTTTTGCCATAGTGGTGCAAAGTGAATAGTCAAACAGATTTTTCCCCCTCGATACATCTTGGACGTCTTACCCTCCAGCTCAGGAATGCAGAGTTCTGGATTGGCAGCAGGGTAAGTGGCTGGAATTTCGAATTCAAGATCAAATTCATAGCGCAAGCCATTGTGAAAAGACCAGCACTTTCCCGTCCAACGTGTTCCAGACTTATTGCTCTCAATGATAAACCAGTCATTATCCGCCTCCTTGTTCATCTTAACGTACTGAATAAGAGCCAAATACTCTTCCTTTAAACGCTTCGTCCAGGCCTCGCCATCACGTGGACCTGCGCGTGTAGTCAGCAATGGAATCTTTTGCACCGCACGCTTAGTATTCTCGTCGATCGGCGCATCCATCGTCTTGCTTTCGATTAGCTAAATTGTACAATACAGCCAGAAATCCGAAATTTGTAACTTTATCAATTCAGGTATCACACGTAATTCTACGATTTACAGAATAAGACTGTACTACTGCATATGTGTCCAACGTTCCTTCAACCGTACAAGAAACAAGAAATAATCATGATACTCCATAATGGTACTTTACCGTGTGATTTCCGAGCTTTGCTCTTTGTCCGAGGATGCCCTACTTAAACCTCAAGACTCGGTCTTTAACTAATGAGCTGGACCAGACACAAGACGAGCTTGCCTATGTGCAAGCGCAAAAGTTGCAACGGCTTTTGCAGACTATATCACATTATCATATATATATTTAACCCAATGGAAGTCGCCCGCCTCGACGCCGCCGATCCCTCACAGGCTTATGCATAGATGCCATCCGCAGACTCAAAGCAAGAGAAGCGTTCGAAATTCTCTTCAAGGGCGCGCTTGAAGACTGCACCTAGTGAATTAACGTTTGCATAAATCCGTTATTGCCATAAACACCATACTTATGGTATTTGATGCTGCCGAAAGTACCGAAAACTGAGTACCTTACTCAATTTTCGCACTGGGTGAAGAAGGCACACCGCCTCAAGGTTTTTACGAGCTAACTTAAAAAAAAAAGCTCGGCTAAAGTGTCATATAATTCATGACTTTCAGAAGCACGTCCTCGTCGAGGTGGAAGTTCAGCAAACCCTTCAATTTATGGTGTAAGCAGCTCTACTCATCTACATGAGCTTGCTGTTACAGCAGGATCAGGTATCGAATTTCGAGCAAGACCGTGCCTCACTCGCTGGTAACAACGGCTGGCTGCATGCCAGGGAGGCAATTAGAAAAGGTAGTTCAAGTCGTAAGAAGCGAAAATTAATCTCGGCTAAGTAAGACCTCAAATTGCCATGAGGTCTCGGATTAAGGGTTTTCTTTAAACTTCACCGGATACTGGTTACAGCCATGGTAAAAGCGCCCGCATACTATCCATTTTTCATGATAGTAGATCACCCATTGTTCATCGAGCAGAACTGACAATGTTACCCTTTCGCGGCTAGAACTCGTGCTCTGTTCTGGTTTTAGCGGTACGACGACTCCTTTCTAAGGTTCCAGTTTGGCTTGCTGAACTGCGCAATCGTAATGGCTGACTTAAAGCACCTCAAGCGGCTCAGAAATCGATCGCTCTCGAGCAGAAGTTAGCTATGCTACAAGATTCTGAGACATAACTTCGTCACCAAACACTACGCTTCGCAAACGGATGAGAAGGGAAAGCTGGTACTTGCTATCGATTTAATGAATTTGCATAGAACACAGAGATTGTTTACTTTGGTATACTGAAAGTGAACCCAGTTCCGACCTGGTTACAGCCTTCAAAGGTTCAATGTAGCAAAATCACTACTTAGTCCTCGTCTGTCGCGAACCAACGATGTTTAGTATAGATGGCGAGAGGTCGTCGTTACTAGAATGATACTGATGTAGAAAATTGGTCAGTCTAAGCCGCGTTCGTTAACGGGGTTACACATACCCTGGAAACAGGAGTGTGTCTCACACCAGATGGTCAGGGTGTGACCACACCCAAACAAGAATACGGTACGGGGCTGGATAGCCAGTAGTTATACATGTAATTTAGATTCTACTATACATATTTAGGAGAATCTATGCATTTAAAATTAGGCGGCTTTGCCGCAGATAAAAATTAATAAAGTTAGTTTTTAATTTATACCGAAGAGTTAATTAGCCTTGGGTTAAGGCTATAGTTACTCTTGGAGTAAGCGGATTGCGACCCGCTAAACTCGTACTCGTTTTGAGTATAGATCGAGAGGTCAGTGACCTAACTTACGCTTCCTCAAAGAGCAAAGCTACGGCAGCCTCGCTGCACTTGATAGCACTTGTAGTCAATCTACACCTGAGTCTTCTAGACTGATCCTCTGTGAGGATAGAACGATTTTCCTCTTTGCCCCAAGACGGGCTTAAAAGCTGGTGTCCTTGCTGGGCCCTGAGGGCGTGCAAAACCTTGTTGTGCAAGGCCCCGAGGCAATCGGTGCACGTCTAGAGGTGTTTTCGAATTACGAAAAACGCTTTGCTAGAGCACCTGCAGCAGAAGATGCCTGCTATATTTGCGTCTATGACGCCACCGCCAGTAACGGATGACTTCCCCCACCCTAAGCCGCTCATAGTGAGCGTTAAGGTCTTTGAGGGGTAGGATGGACAGAATCTCCTGCTCTGGGTGAGAGAGGTCGAGATGGCCATTGCACGCGCCATGCTTCAGACCGAGTAACAGCGTGTGGCGCTAGACATCTCAAAGCTCGGTGGTCGAGCGCGAGAATGGGCACTGATGTGCGGCACTTCGGTC